CCCCCGCACGCTCGAGATCTTACGGCCGTTGAGTTCCGGCACATCCGGTATCGGAAAGGACGCGCCGCTCACTTTAAGCGGCAAATAACGATTGTACTGTGAGATATCCCCGCGCGTTCCCACGGTCACCGGCTCCAGCCGGGTCGCATCGTCCCGTATATGCTGCTCTGCCACGGCCCGGCCTTGCTCCGTATTCGGATCGAAGCGTACTACTTTCATCTCCACGCCACCGGGCCGCAAGGTGGCTTGCTCGAACTTGGTCGAGTTGCTACCACGTTTGATAGCGGTGGTGGTGACAGCGGGAATCAGACTCGTCATCTTCTTCTGCGCTGTCTTCAACGGCCTCTTGACGATCGCCGGCACGGGCTCGCTGCCGGCGGCAATCGCCGCACCGCCTCCGGCGCCGTAGAAATTCGCGAGAGCTTCCGGCGGCAGTTTCTCGATCGGAATATCGCCGATCTTGTCATAGTCGAGGATCTGAATATCGGCGTTGCCTAAAATACCGGAGCTCAACAGCTGCTCCCTGATGTCGTCTGGCACTTCGTCCGGTAAATTCGCAATGTTCTCTTTGATCTTGGCCGCCTTATTCGGCGAAAGTGTCGTCGTGGTTGGCGCTTCGGTAGTCGTGGTAGTGGTTGTGGTTGTAGTTGTACTAGTAGTTGTCGGTAAGAACGTTTTAGCAGTCGGCGGTGAGTTGAATTCTTCGGAGGGACTAATCGGTGTTGCGTAGATTTTCTGCGAGGGATTATTTTGGACCAATGGCCGGCCCCATATCGATTGTTGCTGAGTGAAAGTGGTCGTTGCGGTCGTTTGTGGCCGTTGTTGTGATGTCGGAAGCGTCTGCGAGAAGAAGCTTTGCTGACTACTCTGATGAGACTGCTTCGTGTTTAAGTGCTGGTTTAATTGTTGCGTGTTTAACTGTTGCTGCAGACCGTCACCAGAGATAAAATGATTTTTTAAACTCCCAGACAGTTGTTGCTGAGAGTCATGAAGGGCACTGAACGATTGTGGCGATGCGAACTGATTTTGGGAAAGTTCGGGAAACGTCGTTGGTTGAATTATCGTGGGATTTGGTGGGAACGGACCAGGATGAAGAGGATTTTCTTGGAACGCGTAATGCTGTTCTAGTTTAGGCACGGCCTTGAAAATTTCACCTTCTGGTCGTTGAGATGATAACTGTGACTGTATTTGTGACTGTAATTGTGGCTGCAATTGTGGTTGCAATTGTGGCTGTAATTGCGGCTGCAATTGCGGTTGCTGCACCTGATTATACTTAAGCTGTGTACGATATCGTTGTTGTTCCTGAAGAAACTTGAGCTCCTGCTCCTGTTTCCGCCTGCGTTGCTCCTGCAAACGCTGCAATTCTTGCAATTGTTGCTGCTCCTGTTGCCGATGTTGTTCTTGCAAGCGTTGCTGTTCCTGCAATCGTTGTTGTTCTTGAAGTCTCTGATGCTCTTGCTGCCTCTGATGTTCCTGTTGTCTCTGCTGCTCCAGCAATCTCTGTTGCTCGACCTGTCTCTGCTGTTCCAAGAATCGCTGATGTTCTTGATGTCGCTGCTGTTCATGCTGTCGTTGATGTTCCCGTTGCTTCAATAACTCTTGCTGTCGTCGTTGCTCATGGTAACGTTGTTTCTCCAATTCCTGTTGTTTAAATGGAGATTGCGGTGGAAGCTCCACGTTGAAACCATTCTGTCTAGATAACGGTTGCTGCTCCGAATTAAAGCCACCAGATCTGACTGGTAATGGCTGCTGGGGCGGTTCCGCAAAGTTATTTTGTGGCAACGACAATGGTCGATTCTGTACTTGAACGCTTTGATGCGATACCGATAGCGCAGGTGGAAATCCCGGTTGCTGAGGATGATTGATGTTGACGTGATGCGGTGGTGGACCAAAACTATTGAACGTCACGCGTTGTTGCACTTCCGGGAGACCCTGAATAGTTATAGGATGACGTTGCAGTGGTCTTGATGATGATGGCGGTGGTGGCGGTGGTGGATTTCTCAAGGATTGCTGAGATGGAAATGTTTGATGCTGCAGCAGTGATTGCTGCTGTTGCTGTTGTTGCAAGAACGTTGCTTGCGGTTGCGGCGGGAATGAATTGATAATGCGCTGTTGCGGAAATACGGGTACTCGAGGGGGTTGCGGGGGCTGCAGAGGTTGATAAGGACCGTGCTGTCTTTTCGGCGCTCCCGGCGATGTTGTCGGCTTGCTGATGTGCTGTTGAATACTGCCTGCAGGCGTCTCTAAGTCGCTACGCTTGTTGTGATTGTTGGGTGGCACTTGCTCGGTACCGAAAGTCACGCGGATACCGCTACTACCGGAATGGTACACTTCGCTATCGGGTCGAATGATAGCGCGTAAGGTCGTCGATGGTTCCGGAGGCGGTGCCGGTG